AAATGCCATTGTTGCTCCAGGTAAAGGGATTCTTGCGGCTGACGAGAGCACGGGTAATTGCATTTTTTTTAACCTCAATAGCCACTGTTGGCAAAAGGTTTTCCGCCATCGGAGTTGAAAATAATGTAGAAAATCGTCGTCTTTATCGGCAACTTCTATTTTCTGCCGATAGATGTCTTGCAAAAAATATTTCTGGGGTCATTCTTTATGAAGAGACTCTATACCAAAAAGCTGACGATGGTACTTCACTTGTAAAACTTTTACAAGACCGTGGTATTATCCCTGGCATTAAAGTCGACAAGGGTGTCGTTCCCTTGGCTGGCTCTATCAATGAGTGCACTACTCAGGGTCTAGATGATCTTGCTACTCGCTGTGCTCAGTATAAAAAGGACGGGTGCCATTTTGCTAAATGGCGTTGTGTCTTGAAAATATCCTCTCACACTCCTTCTTACCAGGCCATGATTGAAAATGCCAACGTCCTCGCTAGATATGCTTCAATATGTCAGCAGGTAGCCTCTTATTTGAATCATGTTTTCTTTTTTTTTACGCCTAGAATGGATTGGTTCCTATCGTTGAGCCTGAGGTCCTGCCAGATGGTGACCACGATCTTCCCACGGCTCAAAAAGTTACTGAGCAGGTTCTTGCATTTGTTTACAAAGCGTTGGCCGATCACCACGTTTATTTGGAAGGAACTCTTCTTAAGCCAAATATGGTCACAGCAGGCCAAGCTTGCAAAAAGTCATTCACAGCTGTTCAAAATGCTCTTGCTACCGTTACTGCATTACAAAGAACTGTGCCTCCCGCGGTCGCAGGTAAACTTACAAATTTTGCACTCTTATCAACTTCGATTTTTAACTAATGTTTTAATATTATTCAAATTTAGGTGTAACCTTCCTATCTGGTGGCCAATCTGAATTGGATGCCACTATCAACTTGAACGAAATCAACAAAGTTCCTGGACGTAAACCCTGGGCATTGACATTTAGTTTTGGTCGGGCTCTTCAGGCCTCTGTTCTTGAGGCATGGAAAGGAAAAGCTGAAAATGTGTCAGCTGCCCAAAAAGAACTTATTAACCTTGCCTCGGTACGCCTTGTTTTACTTGAAATTGTATTCACTATTAAAAATGTCTTGGTTAATATTCGAATAATTTTTTTTAGGCGAACGGCGCTGCCGCTTGCGGACAATTTGCTGGTAATCTGGATACAGCAGCTGGCGGAAAGTCACTCTTCGTTGCCAACCATGCATATTAATTTAATTGTTTTTCACGACTCGCCAATTGCATTTGTTGCACAGAAAGACTTGTCAAACATCCACATTATTGATTACCTACCCTCTAATACTCCGCATAATTTCATCTAAGAAAGCATTTTAGCCAGTTTTATCAGTAGCCTAATATTTATTTTGAGCAGAGGAAGGCAAGATTTCGCCAAGAATCCCTACTGTTAACTTATCACTTGATAAATCCCTGTCTTTATGACCTGATCCTAGCACTTATCGTTCATAGATTCCGTTTATCCTGCATAAGAA